TCCTCCGGATCCCTCGCGGCATGACACAATGTTTCTTCACCATCTGCTGCTGTGTTATCACCGGTGCATGTGCCCCACCGTTACCTTGTCGTCGACTTCAACGCCTGCTTCGTCGACGGTAAGCCCATCTCCTTTGCCGAGATCTGATGTCATCCTCTCCGGCTCAGGCGAAACCTCTCTAGCCGGTCAAAAAATCCGCTCCGGCACGAGATTCAACTTTGCTCGGGCTTCGAACTTCTCTTCCGACCTGATAGGAAAATTACCGGTGCTCCTCCGACCTGCTACACACAGTCACGGAGGACCCAATACTCCTTCCTCCCGTCTCTTCCCTGGAACGAGATCTCCAATCGTTTAAATTTCACCGTCGATTCTCCTGAGATCGAGAAATCTCGAGCCGCAGAGTCTGATCCCCCACCCGACTTCACCTCTGATTTATTGGGCCCAGTGGGCTTTACCCATGACGGGCTAGATACGGTGGGCCGGCGAAATCTCTGCATAAGCCCAACCCGAGCCCTTTCGAAACAGATTCTCTTGATGGGCCAGGCCCAGTCTCTTTATAATATTCACAAGGTAAGGATTTATAGCCCATATTGCAATCCACAGAACAAGATTATACATCTATCTATTTGGGTTAGAGATTGTTATTTTTGATGGCCGTAATTTCAATTTCCTCCATGGCAATGTTCATTATTTATCTATGCATAGTGGTACTGCCTTTCTTGCCGAATTAGGCGACTTATTACAGAGCTCGTTAAAATCCTTATCCTCCAAATCGAGCCTGAAAAGACCAATTCGTCTTCACTGTGTTTTATTCCATCAAGCGTCGAGAGCCATATCTCCACGAATGGGAGGGCCAAAGTTTTCTAGATGCTCAATATCTTCTCTGTGGAGAGAAGATCTAAGTTTTCTGGATTCTCAAATTCTGTAAAATACTCTCGGTGGAAGAGTTCAATTCCACCAACTTCCATCCTTTTGAGCATTGTCGTATTTTCTTCCCTCTCATGGAGAGTGGTCGAACCCCCATGCTTTATGCCGGGAATTTCAAAGTCACATGGTAAAGTGACTAACCTAGGAATCTCCGGCTCTGCTGCGAAGACCCTCTTGACGCATCTGAGGCATGCTTTGGATCTGCTATCTATCATCTTCTGCGATGACCTATCTGTTTTTTATTTTATTGCACTTCAATTATGTTGTAGTAATGCTGGAGGATGCTTAATTCACTCCGTTTGTATTTTGATATTTTAAATGAATGGAAAAAATTGTTGATAAAAAAAAAATATATAAGTCGGCGATTATTGAACTAAGTATTGGAAACTAAATTGGCGTACCACAAAATATCTTCGGAAACTAAATTTTGCGAAAGAAAGACAAACGATATTGTC